ATATTGGCAATCAGATCGGTATTGGCTGATATGACTTGTTAATAATCGGCCATCGGTATTGGCACAAAAAAAATCTTTATTGGTGCACCCCTACTTAGATTGTATCTAGAAACATCAACCAAGTTAAGCTCCCATTGTATTAGAGCAGGGGTGTCAAAGATACAGCCTCTAGGCCAGTTCTGGCCCATGGACTCCTATCATCTGGCCCTAAGTGCTGCCTGTGGAGCCCTCCATCTAGTCCCGTATGCTGTATGCACTTGCCCCAGCCCCATGCACTGCATGTAGAGTCAGTCTGGAGAACAGGTGAGGTTGTCTGTAGGCCCAGTGCAGCTCACCAGACCAGTCCCGTGCCCTTCAGCTGTCCCATAGGGGCAGATGAGTTTGACACTCCTCTGTTACAGTATGAACATACAAACCATGTACTGTGTATGGAGGAGGGCAAGAGTACAGTGTATTAGCTCTTTGTCCATGTGTCCACTCTTAACACTGTGGAAAGTGGAAGTTAAACTTTGCTAGTTAGCCCTCAGGTTAACTTCCATATACCACGGGGGAAGAGTGAACTCATGGGCGTTTATCCTGGGCTAACTGTTGTGGTAAAGCTCTGCCCATTGTTATCCTGAGGCCCCATATATGTTTTTCACACTGTGGTTGTTACTTGGGAAGTCTTTCAGTGCACCAACCTAGGTCAGCTAGAATTAGGATAGCTGTCGTATAATAGCTGTATCATGTGATGCATTGGTAGAATCTTGTGGGGGGAATAGACTTAAACTTGTTTTCACCCTATATTCATAACAAGAGAAACATTTTATCTTAATAAAAATAGACTGGAACAGAAAATGAAGGGATACTGTTTCACCTCCTGAATTTTAAGACGGTTAACTTTCCATAAATTGTTTATACTTGATACTGGCTGAACACTATCCATTTCTAATACAGTATTTCTTTACACATACCTAGTGCTAGGATGAGCAACAGAATTCTGGAAAGAATCCTGAAATTGGTTATCCATCTAAAGAAATAACAAGTCTCTAATTTGTCTGCTTTCAGGTATCTATAGAGAGTTGTGTTTAGAGTCTGTAAAGAACAAATATGAATGTGAAATTCAAGCTTCTCGTCAACACTGTGAGGTACTGCTAACTTGTTAAAACTGACAGTTGATTGTCTATCTTTGAACTCTCTATAGATACCTGAAA